TTAACCTTGGTTAAGTAACAAAGGCATTTGTCTTGCCTTCTCTGGGTCATATTTCAGACCTTGGGAGACTGGAGCTGGACCCAGGAACCAACATTTTCATAAGTTCCTAGGTGACTTATTTGATAAAAAATACATGTATTTTGACTTTTTAATATGTGTATGTGTTTGAATCTGTGTGTGGGTATTTGCACATGAGTACTGACACCTCTGGGTGTCAGAGGTGTCCGCCATCGCTGGAGCTGGACTTACAGGTGATCGTGAGCCACCTTACATGTGTGTTGGGAATCGGACTTGGATCTTCATACAAAAACAGTATGTGCTCTTAATGACTAAGTGATTTCCTGTATCCCTGTCCCCCGCTCCTAGATGATATTGATGTGTGTTGATGCAACAACCTCTCCTTAGTGTGTCTAGGGACACCGCTCCAAGGCTTCCTCAATGGAGTTTTGCCTTGCAAGCTGTGCTCTCTCGTCCCCCATCCCTCCCCCTTCACCTTAGTCTAGCACCTGTAGAAACTTGAGTAGTGAAGTCTTCTGTTTTATGTCACAGCTTCTCTTTAGTTTCTTTTCACCATCAGTCCCGGGGGAGTCTCAGGAACATTCTCCCGATATCCTGAAGCTGTTGGCACCTCACCCTAGATTAAAGGAACACGTAGAGTCAATGGCTACTGAAGGCACCAGCCATAATCTACCAAAGTTGTCACAGGTAAAACTCAACTCACACCCAGCTCGCTCATGATGCTTCGTTTGGCTCTTTTGTGGGCACACGAGAAGTGAGCCCTACCTCTCCTACTTTGGTTCCTGAGTGAAAAAGAAAGATGTAGTCGATAATGGCTGTGTCCTTTGCTTAAAGCTACAACTGGGAATTTCAGGCATGCTCCAAAAGTTGATTTATTGGTTAATTTATTTGTAGTCTTGGTCAGATCTGGAAATAGAAAGATTTGATAGAAGTATAAAGAGATTGGCCCACTTCCCTTGGAACCCCGTAATTGGGGTGTGCTTATTGGTTTCAGCTTTGGGGCACATTCAAGCTGATGGCCTTTGAGCACCAGTGAGAGCTTTGTGCAAGGGTGACTCCATTTGGGGAGCAAATGGAGGGACTTTCTTGTTCTTGCACTATGCCTTCCACATAAGTAGGCTTCTCATGCACATTTCTAGCAAAGTAGAGGTGCGAGAGTTGACTTGAGAGTGAAGACAAGTGTTTGTAGTTTTCTTTGAAAACAAGGGAACCAAATGCCGAGGGATGGGGCATTAGGAGCTGGCCTTTCTAGCACAGGGTAAGTGGGCAGAAGTTGGGGCTCAAAAAAACAGACTTTAAGCAAGATTTAACATTGAATTGCTGGGCACCTTTGGGGAGCAGTTTCCATTTGTGCCTGAAGTTCCTTACTTGTATATAAGCCCTGGATGCTCACGTCTTCCTAGTTTTTGTGTCTGCTCTAGAGAAGGAATAAAACCCAAGGCGGCTGTTTTTTCTTGGTAAAGGCAGAACTTGGAATATCTCCTGAAATCAGAGAGTCCCTAGTGGTCATTAGTAGATGACTAACGCAGCTAACATGAGGACCCAGGGTCTGCAGTGGGGAATTCGATTTGCCACTCAGTCTAAAATGAAGGAAACAGAGCTTCTGGCTTTTCAATGTGAGCAGACTGGGGAGCAGCAAGTGTATTTTCACCCAAACATTGTTTTGCAATGCCTTGGGGTCTTATGTGGACAGTGCTCTGGGCTCATGGAAAGTCAAGACTGTAGTGTTATTTAATTTAGTACTTGAGAACCCCTGGGATGTAGGATGAGAAAAGCCACGTCCTCTCCTTTCCTCTCCACTTCTTTGTTTCTTCCCGCCTGTGTCCACTAGGATTGCTGGCAAGGGTAGAGGAGAAACAACGGAAAGTGAGCCTTTTGCTGTCAAATATTGATTTCGATTGCAGAAGAGAGCTTCTCCGGAGCACTGTGCATAAGCACATCTTTGCAATTACTTTTAGTTCCGCTTCCCAATACCTTCCTAGTGGACCAAATTCTCTAAAAGGCTAGAGACCAGCTATTATGCCAAACTATTATGTCTCTTTTTCAGACTTTTCACCCAAAATTGAGGGAAAGGAATGGATTGTCCCCTGCTCCTTTGATGAAACTAGCATACAGCCCTGGAACATGGGCTGCTTTGGAAGGCCTGTACAGAGCTGGCCCCAAAGCCTTTCCTAAAGTCCTTTAAAGAATGGCGACGAATGATGGCAAGGGTGAGAGGAAGTATCCGGTAACAGGATACCCCTCACAGAATGCTTTGCTTTCCTCACAGACCACCGGGGAGTGATGTGGATAGGAGGGAAGAGTGGTGCCTTCCCTTACAGTCCCTTTCTCCCCTGCCCAGGAAGCTTTTCCTCCCATGTGCCTTTTGGCCGTGCCTAGGGAAGTCCCCTAACTCTATTTAAGCAAGGCAAGCCTTTGACATAGATTGGGTGTGAGCAGTAAGCCCCATGACTGGCCCTCCATTGAGTTATGTATCCACTGAGAGGTCAGGAGTGAAGAGCAGGATTATGTTGTTTCCTTTTTGTCCCCTAAGGGGACAATATTGGAGGACGATATTGGTCTCTAGTCGATTCTGATATCTGGCTTTTGCTCCATCTAGGAAAGTCCAGAGCTTCCACACTGTTCAAGTCAGGAGGAAGCAGCAGCTCAGGGAGAAAGCAGCAGCCTGAAGAACTCAGCTCAAGTAAAGGTGGGGAGTCAGGAGGACAATGGAAAAGATCAGGAAGAAGAGAAGCTCAATACTGCCTCCATCAGGACCGGCAAATGCAAGGAAAAGAAAAGGAACCATTGCCAAGTTGATGAAAACCAAGAAGACCTGGACGTGCCTAATAAAGTCCCCAGACAAGGTACTAATTCCACCCAGGGAGAAAGGAGCTTAATGCAGATGACTGGGCTCACTGACATATGTAGTTTCCCTCGGTTTTTTTTTTGTGGGGGGCGGGGATCCTCTGGCTCTGAGTTTGTGACCTAGCTCTGGCACTCACCAGCTGTTAAATCCCAGGGGTTGCTGTGAGGTTTCTCACAGAATGTGAGTGTGCGGGGTAGCCGCCACACAGAAAAGTGATAATTAGCATCCGTAGTCAAGACAATCGGGGGTAGGTACCGCATCAAGTAACACCATCCCATGCTTTCCATCATGTCACTTTCTTCCAGGCCAACCATTTCCTGCCCTCATCCCTGGTCTGGGAATGTAGGATGGGAAAGGTGTGGTCATGTCTCACTTAGTTGTGTTCTGAGAAGCAGGCTCCCTATCTTTCCAAGATTAAGTGTGAGCTTTGAAGACCTGGCTCACTCCATGGAGTTGCCACTGCTGCTAATGAATTTGAATGCTCGCCAGGAGCTCTAGCCTTGGCCTTCTGTCTATGGAGACTGCTCAAACACCCCCTGGAAGTCCACTTTAGGGAATGCCTGGCAATTGCTCAGGCAGCCACAAAATTAAACTCTGGGGGAAGTTTGAAAACTTCTTTTTTTTTTTCACTCAGAAGTACTTGTTTGTAAAACCAAGTTGATGCAGCTCTGACTTGCTGTGTTCTAAATCACAGATCACCCTGCTGATGAGGGGGCCAAACCTGATCTCAGTATTCCACTTACATCCCTTGATGCGACTGACCTTGAATGCTCACTGTGTATGAGGTATGTGACGTGGGTCATCACTTAACTGCTTGCTAGTTCCTTCTCTTTGGTGGCTGGGCCTTTCCCTCTAGTAACTCTTGAGTTAGTTAGTATGTAAAATCATGGCCCAGATGAGATGGAAATCACATTGTCACGAGACCGCTGGTGTCCCCAGCTTACAAATGGTGATCTTTACATCCTTAAGTCATGATTTCAAAAGATCTGGGGAGTGGCAAAGCAACAAAGGTCAAAAACTGATGGGCCCCAAGTGGAGCATGTTTATTTGGTCCTCATTAGATCTGATGTTGTTATGTATGACTGTACAGTGGGCATACACTTGCCAGCTGGTCATGATCCCACGAACTTATCCCAGCCTGTCTCACATTATTGCTCGAGCCTTCGAGGTATTTGAACTTGTGACCCTGAATCTAAACTACTACATTAAGGACTTAAGGGTTAATATCAATGCCATAAGCATTTTCTTTGGAAACCAAAGAGAAGCCTACATTGGTGTGTATTTTATGCTGTCTAAAGAACAGTACATATGATTCTTGGTCAAGCATTTTCCTTCCAACTAGTATGTTATCTATACTTCCTCAGGGCTCTAAAGAGCAGATTATCCATATGCCACACTTCAAGGACAACTAGAAAGATTCTGTGATTGTGGTCTGTTCACCACCTTGAAATGTAATAGTTTATTTCATTTCATAGCTGTGGTGTAGTAGCTGAGAGAAAGGGCTCTGAAGCCACTGTTGGGATCCTAGCTCTTCCCACCTACAGACTCTGTCCTAGAGCAAGTGACATTTTCTGCCACTCTTTTTTCTTTAGTAAAGTAGAAAACAGGGCAGTGAACTCCAGAGCTGTGATGACTGATTAAGAAAAACTATTCAGTGCCTAGAGTAGTGTCTGGAATACAGGGAGTACTCAAAAAATTAACAGTTTTTTTCTTCTTACCCAGAGGTCTTTCATGTTAGAGCCATAGACCTCCGAGGAAGCTCTTTGTGTATATTCAAATAGATCCATGAATTCATTGAAGTAATAAGCAAAAGTGTGTGTGTGTGTGTGTGTGTGTGTGTGTGTGTGTGTGGTTGTGCATATTTCTAAGAGGAAAGCACATAGCATTCTTTAGATTCTCAAATGAGGTGACTTTCTCCAAAAGTATTAAGAAAGAACTGAGACACTTGAACAAATGTTTGCCTGTCCTTTGCGAGCTTATTCCTCTCCTATTGGTCATATGAGTTTATATTCTGAATGACTTTTCTTAATCATCTGATTAAGAATTAACTATTACCTAAAACACAGACTTTTCTTAGAGAAAATATACTTGGGTCTAGGGGAGTAGCTCAGTGGGAGAGGACTTGGCTACCATTCATGAGGTTCTGGATTTAATAATCAGTATCACAACAATAATAGTAAAATAATAATACACAAAAAAAATCTGTTGTAGCAAGATTTGTTCATAAGCATAGACAGGTCTTAGCCAGTCATCAAACTAAGCTGCAAACACACTGTCAGGAGTCCGCTTAGGTGGTGTAGACAAGAGTGTGCTGAACAGTAGAAGTGGATCCTTTACACCGCTTCATCCCGCCCCTCACAACAGAGTGGCAAGTGCATCATGCTAAACCAAGGTAGGAGACAGCAAAAACCTGCTTTCAAGCCGAGAAGGGGCTCGGTACCTACTGAATCAGTGGCTCTAAAGCCCATGATAGGCACTGTGAAGTAGATTTAATTTAGCTTCCTCAGAAAGAGCAGGTCTTTGTTCTGCTTAACCCTCCTTAACACTCCTGCCAAAACCCGGGCGACCCACAATCAAACATACAGACTCATCCTGTTTGTGTTTTCCCTGTGGAATAAAAATCCTGAGGTTGAAATTCTTTTGTTCGTCTTCCTTTTCTTTTCCTCTTTCATCTTCTTTGTCCCTAACCACAAGGGACTTTGTAGAAGAGTTAGGAATTTGGTTTAAGAAATAAACACACGGAGGATAAGCACCCCGTCTAGTTCACACCCCCTAAGCTTAAAAGCCACTGTGTCCCTCTTTCTGACCCCTTGTTCCGTCTTTGCCCAGAGTAGCTAGCTGTTATGTAGGCTACTAAATTATAGCTAGACTCTCGCTGTCTTATGGTGTAAGGAACCTGGCTAGCCTAGAGGACTTTTTGATTAGAAGCTCTTAACACTTCAGCGGTTGGGAAGAAACATGCAGCTTCCCTTCCAACAGGCTCTGTCTGGAAGTTCCACATCAGATGCCGACGGAATTTCTTTAGTGTGGATGCCCTCACCTGTGTTTTTCTAGGCTTCAAAAGTTCCTTTTCCCACTTGTAGCCATTGGTAGTTTTGTCACGATTGTTGGTGGGTTTTGTTTTGGCCCTGGTGTGTCTTTGGAGGAGAGGCTTTGTATTTGGCTACTTTTCTCGTTGCTCTGACTAAATATTTGACCAGAGCAATTTCAGGGAGGAAGTATTTATTCTGGCTTTCCTTTGGCGGGTTGGTGCTCTCATGGTGAGGCAGGCCTAACAGCAGGTGGGCAAAGTGTGGTTGTAAGATCAGGAGCCCTGCCTCTAGCTCACATTGAGTTCCCAATATACAGGAAACAGGCCCTAAGGAGTGTCATTGCTTAGCTCACTGGCTCCTTTTCAGTCAAGATCCCAGCCCAGGCCATGCATGGCACTTCCCACAGTTCAGATGGGTCTTTCCACCTCAGACTAACCTAGACAATCTCTCACAAGTGTCCTGGAGGGTTCTCTCTTTGTGAATCTAGATCCATCAGGTTGGCAATTGGTATTAACCATCACGGGTCTAAAATCACAGGTAGTTTCAAGATGCTTGGGTGTGAATTAGACATTTGTACTACCTGTTCAAGATTCTAGACTGAAATCTAAGCCCTGGTGGAGAAAAGGGAGACAAAGCATGAATTTATACATTTTGATTCGAGAGAGGAAATAGATTGGGTTGTAAGTTTCACAGGGAAAGGGTGGAAAGTGTGACTGGAAGCCAGGGGTAGCAGCCAGCACACACTGCAATCCCAGCACTTGGGATGTCGATGTAGGAAGGTGAAGAGTTCAAGGTGATTTTTTGGCTACATAGTGAGTTCAAGGCCATGCTGGGCTACAGGAGGCCCTATTTTTCTAAAAAGTGGAAGAGTAATTGGAGAGTACATAATGAAACCCTTTTCTGTCTTTAAGTCAACACTGCTGAATTGGAAGGACTCCATTAAGGGAAGTCTGCCCCAATGACCCCCACATCTCAGAATCCTGCCCTGCAATCATTAGGGGCATGAAATTCCCCTTGAGGTTTATCTGGCATGCATCACTGTAGCCATTGGGGCTCATCTCTGGGCTTCTGTAAAACAATACCTTTGCGATAATTCTGTATTCTGAGATATGAAATGAGACTGTTTGCTATCTGAACTAGTTCTCTGGTGGCATAGTGACCAGCCACCATGCCATCTGGCGATGAGCAAAAGGGTCAGTTTTATATATAATCTTGTTATAGCTCCCTAAGTCACTGGGTATTAAGGTAGTTTTCCTTTCCTTTCCTTCTCTTTCCCTCCTGCTTCTTTTTCTCTCTTTGCTGTAACCTGACAGCAAAAGAACACAGTGCAAGGCTGTCACTGGTGGGGAAAGATAGCTCTTTCCAGATAAGCCAGACGTTTTATCTGGACTGACATCTAAGGGAAGGGATTTTTTTCTTACTATTGTTTACCACATCGCTCTGATAATGTGAAATGCTTTCTTGTGAGACAAGCCAGCCCTGCTCTGATTTAAAGCTGTCTCTCTGAAGTGTTTTCAAAACCCTTATCTTAAGTGAAAAAAGGACAGACAGACGTCCCAGTATATACCTCTCTCTCTTCGTAGGTAAGATGCTTTGTGTGTCTCTCTCTGCAGAGCAGAGGGAGGAGGGAGAGTGACAGAAAGGGAAGGAGGAAAGCGTTTGTGGAAGTGCACTTGGGCGGGCAGATGTCGGCTGAGTGGCTGGAATGCAGTTGAATATAAGGACACATGTAGTCCTAGCTGTCTTGTAGACCGAAAGAGGAAGATTAGTTGTGGAGTCAGATGTGATTATACATCCCAAGCTTTCTGTCTACCAGCTAACTCTGTAATCTTGGGCATGTTATCTCGTCTGCTTGCATTTTAATTTCCTCAGCAGTAAAATAGTTTATCATAATTGCCACTTATTGATATATAAAGTTAATTTTAATGAAAAATAGTGTTGCACACAACCATAAATACAGCAGGATAAATATATTTATGGTCTTAAAAGAGCAGTAGTCTCAATCATCAAGCTCTCAAGAAAAAATAGTTTTGTATATTAGCAGTAGATAGAATTTATCAATTATCCTCATATGTATAATCAATAATATCTAAAAGTATTCAGATATCATGAGTATGCCTATAATACCAATACTCAGAAGTTTGAAGCAGGTGAATTAGGAGTCACAGGCCAGCCTGAGCTACAGAGTGAGAACCCGCCCCTGAGAAACAGCAAGGGTGAGGAATCGAGGGGAGGCAGCACATATTTCTAATCCCAGCGAGCAAGAAACTGAGGCAAGAGGCTTGCCAGTGCTCTTAGGCCAATGGTGCTATAGAACAAGACCTTATCTTAAAAAAAAAAAAAACAAACAATGAAGAATGGGTAGTGGTGGTGTGCACCTTTAATCCCAGCACTGGGAAGGCATGCAATATAAAAGTAACTACTGTAACCTCCAAGCTACACTCTTGAGTTCTAGTTTGTTCCTTCTTATAAGTTCGCCATGCGTATTTGCAGCTGTAAAGGGTATACTCTGATTTGTCCTAAATTGTAAAACTTAGATTGAATTTTAGTATATTTCTTCAGTCTGGTTTCTTCTTTTAAAGTCCGTATCAACATGTAAGTGGTTTGTTCATTTTCATTAGCACACGGCGTCTCGTTGTGTGAGTGTACCACAGTCTCCTCGTTCTATTCTAGATGGGTACTTAGCTGGGCTGGCTCTAGTTTAGAAATATCATGGATGGCCACCGCTTTTGCGTGTGCCAGTGTTTGCCTGGTTTTCTACTAGGTTATTGGTTTTCCCTACTGCTTTGGGTGTGTTTTTCTTACAAGTTCTAGGTATATTTTAGATACAAGCTTTTTCTTACCTGGGCATGGCAAGCACTCTCCCCTTGCCCTTTTAATTATGCTTTTAGATGAACTTAAAAATTCTTAATCTTAGTGCAGTTGAAATTAGTGATCTTCTCACTTATAGTTAGTGTTTCTTTGAGTTTTCTCTACTTCCATCTCTGTTTCATCAAGATGTTCTCCGATTTTACGTTCTGGAAGTTGTTTTTCTTTTCAGATTTATTTTTTTTTCACATCACCTGGAATTGATTTTTGTGTGTGGTATAAAAGATGGCCCACTTTCATGTCTCTGTCCAGATAGGGGCTCTAGCCTTTATACAGATTGTTTGTGCTTTCAAACCCTCCTGTGGCCCTGTTTGCAAATGTCACATTTGTCATAAGTCAAGAATCCATGCCTGGTTCTATTCCTGAGCTTTCTATTCTGTTCCATGGATCTATTTTTCCTTGTGCTGGTACATACTGTTTTAACCATCGTAGCTTTATAATAAGTTCTGATGCTTGGTAAAGCAAGCCCTCCCACATCCTTGTTCTTCAGATGTGTCTTGGCTCTCAGCCTTTTGCATATCCTTATTGCATTTAGAAAGATGCTTGCCAAGTTTTTCCTCAAACAAATCAACCAAATAAAATAACTCATTGGGATGTATTGAGGTGCAGCAAATGTTTACAGTTCTTTTCTAATTGATTTTTTGAGACTATCATTTCTGAGTCCTGTGTTTACATTATTTTCAGCTCTCCCTTTCCCCCTCCAACTCCTCCTGTGTCTCCTTCCTCCTTCTCAAATCATTGACCTCTTCTATTGACCTCTAATTAAATATGTGTGATACCATATACCACAAGGCTCACAACCTCTTGCTCTAAATTGAACACTCGTGGGAAGTCAAAAGAAGCTGGCCAAGATTTGTCTCATCTTGCTCAATGTAAAAGCCACTTGCTCCTCCTCCTCCTCTTCTTCTTCTTCATTTCTTTCTTTATTTATTTATTTAATTTTTTTTTTTGAGACAGGGTTTCTCTGTGTAACAGCTCTTTCTGTCCTGGAACTTGTTCTATAGACCAGGCTGGCCTCGAACTCACAGAGATCCGCCTTCCTCTGCCTTCTGAGTGCAGGGATTAAAGGTGTGTACCACCATCATCCGGCTGAGCCCCAGTTAATAGTCACCACCAGCTGTCCCCTAACTCTTGGTCCTGCTTCAGATGAACCTCTCTTTACACAAAATAAATCTATGCATCTCTGAATGTGTAGAATACTTTTTTATTAAGGGTCCCCAGTTTCCCCAGATTGATTTAAAAACATCCTCCTGCCGGGTATTGGTGGTGCACGCCTTTAATCCCAGCACTAGGGAAACAGAGGCAGGCAGATCTCTGTGAGTTCGAGGCCAGTCTGGTCTATAAGAGTTAGTTCCAGGACAGGCTCCAAAGCTACAGAGAAACCCTGTCTCAAAAAACAAAAAACAAAACAAAAAATCCTCCCTTCTGAAAGCAATAAGATCTATTAGGAATATGGTACATATAAACATACTTTTATTTGTAAGAATGTAAGTAGATATATGCACATATTTTACATGTCTATTGATAGGAGTAAATGCGTTAGCATATTACTTACTACTGCTAGGAAAATTATCTATCCACACAAGAGGCAGGCGCATGTTTGTTACAGATGTAAGAACCTTCAGGCACCAAATGTCACTTAAATGAAGGAAAAATTAAAGGTTAGCAAACGAATTGAGTTTTTCCCCCATTGTAATATGGTATACATGGTCTATGTGTGTGTATGCATGTGGCTATCTCTCCGTACGTATTTGTGTGCTTACAGTATACTCTGGTAAACAGGTTGGCCAAATACTTTCTTAATAATGGAATCTGTTCAGACACTCTGAGCACTAATCTGAATTTTTCTTAGACCAGACAGGAAAAGGCTAATGTTACAAAATAATTTGGTTATGCCCTAAATATGAAGCTCTGCATCTTTCTACATATAGTTCAGGAATGAAAAGGAAAATGCTGGCGATAAGACACACAGAGTGCCCTCCCTCAGGTTTGGATAAAGAGTTCTGTGAACACTTAACCATGAATGCCCCTATCTTTTATTTTGAAATCTCATTAAAATTTCTTCTATTTCATTTGCTAAATTTCAGATTATTCTATGAGCCAGTCACAACAACTTGTGGGCATACCTTTTGCATGAAGTGTCTTGAGAGATGCCTAGATCATAACGCGAAGTGTCCACTGTGCAAAGATTCTCTTTTCCAGGTAAACCGCTCTTTCTTCCTCGGTTGTGTTAACTTATTTTTTACTAACTCAGTGCTCAACTGGGTCCTAAGCCACTGTACTGTGCTTGGCCAAAATACCTCCCCCCATCCCCCCCCCCCCCCGCTTACCATCTGTTTATTTCTGCTGTCTCCTAAACATCCTTTCTCTCTCCACAAAGTCCTTCAGGAAAATGAGGCAACATCTAGCTTTTCAATAACTCTCAGTAATGAAGTTCATTTGTGTTAGAAGCAAAAGCATGAACTAGACGATAAACAGAAATCTTGGTTCTGGTACCTTTGTGGCACTGCATAAACAATAATCTTGAGTGAATTTTGCTTCCACTATCCTTGAACTAGATAGCTCTGACTTCGGCATACAGTGATGTTTACTTATGCTTAAAGAGGTCAGCTGCTGTAGGCCCCAGCCACCACCTGCTCAGAGAACCATCTCAGATGTCAATGTGATCTTTCGACAACTCCTCGGGAGCCACCGCTCTTATCAGCAGATACTTGTCAAGCTTTGAGGACTTGAGAGTCATCAAAATTAACGATGCAAGCGTATATCTTCATGTGGGCCTTATGGGCTTTCCTATAGCAAAAGAAAGAGATGTATGTTGCTTTCCTTCCTTCAGAGACTCGAGGATCTCAGCTTACAAACAGTATTACTGTTGCTTTCCCCTTATCATCCCTGAAAAGAGGCCGCAGGAGCTGGGTTATCTCTAGAGAATGGCAACGCAGGCTGGTAGTTCCAGGATTTGGGAAGCTGAGACAGTGGCATTGTGAGTTCAATGTCTACCTGAGTCACCCAGGATAGACCTTGTCTCATGAAGAAAAGTGATTATTTATAAGTTCTTTTTTTTACAAATATTTATTTATTTATTTATTATGTATACAATAGTCTGTCTGTGTGTATGTCTGCAGGCCAGAAGAGGGCACCAGATCTCAGTTCAGATGGTTGTGAGCCACCATGTGGTTGCTGGGAATTGAACTCAGGACCTTTGGAAGAGCAGGCAATGCTCTTTACCACTGAGCCATTTCTCCAAACCCCCCTATTTATAGGTTCTTATAGGCCCACAGAAGTGCATGCTGAGCCTCTCTTACCTCTGACATTGACAAAAAGGAGCTAGAGCGAAGCCATCGTCCAGGGTAGCCTTGAGAAGGAGAATGGGAAACCGCTAATGGAATAGCTTCACTTAGATAAAGACGTGGGATTCACAACCTGATTGTAGATAAGATTCTCATGGTTCTTCTATTTAAATGAGATATCCATGCTGAGTTAGTTAACACCATAAAGTTCACACCAACAGAAGGAGAAACATCTACCATATGCTCAGCCTCTAGAGAAAAGCGCTGTTACCATTTTAGGGTGTCCGCTTCCTGGAGTTTTGTTTTAGCATCAGCAGAGGAATCACTTTCCCACGTAGACTGCCTACCTCTTGAGGCACTGCTTTCCCCTAAAACCTGGGACTGGACATTATGGATTTTTGCCTGTTGCCATGCAATGGCCGTACTTGATAAGGCATCCAGAAGGCAGAAGCCGTGGGATCTCAGACTCAGAGGCTCGAAGATATTCTCATCTAGCTCTGTATTCATCCAGGGGCATACTTCCACCACTTAACAGAGTGATACATATTCCAGCCATGTTAGTTGTTGAGTAGAGACTCCTGGGGAAGAAACAAAATTAATTGTCTGAAGCCAGCAATTTGGTACTTAGGAGCTCCCTCTGCTGAGTCCCACCACAATCAATTCTCTGCAGATATTAATTTTTTATTTATTATTATTTGAGAATTTCACGAGTGCTGTATTTACTTCCTTTTTCCCTCTCTCCTTCCATCCAATCCTGCCTATGACCCCCCCACTCCCTCTCAATTTTGTGACCTCATATTCTTTAACTAGTGTTTCATATATGTGTGCATATAAATATATAACTACGACTTTCCGAGTCCAGTTAGTGTTGCTCATACGCATGTGCTCTTGGGGCTGATCACTGATATTAAATGACCAATTAACGGCTTTCTCCCTGGGGAAGATGGATCCTTCCCCTCCCAGCAGCCTTTAGTGGCCTGGAGCTCCTCATCTAGGAATAGCTTCATGGGATTTCCTCATTACACAAATAATAGGTTTTCTGGGGATGTCATTTGTTCAAGCCTTGTTTAGAGAATTGTATTTTTGTTCAGATTTTATGGGTACAACTTTCCAGGCATATAGAGAAGGAAGCACACATCCTGGTCCTCTGGCTCTTACCGCCTTTCTGCCCCCTCTTCTGTGATGTCCTGAGTCTTACATGTAGGGATTGTGTTGTAGTTGTTCAATTGGGGATGAGCAGCCCACAGTGGATTGTTATCTACATTTTGACCAGTTGTGACTTTCTGTACTAGTCTTTGTCTGCTACAAAAAGAAGCTTCTTCGGTGAGGGGTGAGAGCTGCACGTCCCTGAAGGATAAGTATTTAGAATACAATTACAAATAGATTGTATTGCTTTAGGAAAGTTGAAATAATAAGTTCTCCTCTAAGGTTTTACTGTTCTATTAGAAGATATTTTACCATTCAATGTTTGGGCCATATTATTAATACATACTGCACTTAGATCTCTGGGTATGCATATGGTAGGGACATTCTAACCTAAGTCTGATTCTGAGTTTCAGTGATACCTAAGATGGTGACATAAACTGGCAATGAGACAACCACCTGTATTTGGCCATTAGTTTTTGTGTGGTTTCTATTTTAACTAAAGTTAAGACATGGAGACTTGGCAATATCTAGGAGCCAGGGATTCGATTGGAGTGGAGGTGGGCAAGGCAACAAAGGGTACATGAACACAGCTGTCTGATTCTCTGGACCCTTTGTGTTTCAGCACTTCCAAGATAGAGTTCGTAAACACAAAAATACAGTTCAGACATGAACCTCTCAAATCCAAAGCTTTATGACATCTGTGAAATTTTTCAAAAGCTTAATGCAACATTTTTTGTTAAAATATTTTTTAATTATAAATGTTCAATTGAATTTTTTTAGGAAAATCATAACTCTAACATCCAAAAGATACATATATTGTGGCTGGATTAGCTTCCAAATCCAAATTACAACACATGCATGATTTGACTACTGTCTGGTCTCCATCAGACTACATCTGGGCTACACTTGATTGTCTGTGTTTTTTTTTTTTCGTGTGGACTGTATATTATCTCATTACTTTGATCCATTTCTAGGGCTTTCAATCAAGAAAGTACAGCAAGAACATAATAATGGAAGAACTAATAGCTAAATTCCTGCCAGAAGAACTCAGGGAACGAAAGCGCCTTCATGAAGAGGAAATGGAAGAACTTTCTAAGTATGTTTAATGCATGTTTCTGGCTTCCGTTTCATGTGTGTCCACTCACAAAAACTGACACATTTCCTAGCAACTTCTGGTTCAATGATGCCATGTCGTTACTAGCTTGACATGGCCATGAGGAGAATATTTGCATCATGGAAGTCAACAAATGCTACAAATTGTCCTCCCCCCCCCCGCATCCCTCTCAGAAGCAGTTGTTAAACATTTACCAGTATGTCTCCTAAGAAGCTCAGCGGCAAAGCACAGAGGCACCTGATGCGTCTCAGCACTAGGAAGTACGTGCTATGGGCTGGACTGAGTTAACGGGCAGCTTAATCAGCAGACCTCATGAGACAGCTAGGAGATGCCTTCAAGTCCTTAAGCGGGTGATGGCTGGGTAAACAGTGGTGTGAAGCCACACCTGGGGTTAAGGCCCAGTTCTATCAGGGAGTGTGTTTCGTGGTCGTGGACATGCCATTCAACCTTTCTGGGATTCAGTTCCCTTGCCAGTGACTTGAAGCTGATAGCTCTTGTATTGTAGGCTTATTCTGAAGACCCGAATGAGTTGCTGCACAGCAAGCACTTATTAAGGCAATAGTGCCTATACTCGCTGTGTATTTTCTCTGCTGCACAGTATGAGAGGGGAAGGCTCGGAATGGAGACATAATTGGATCTTCCGGGGCTCTGAGTGCCATGCACTTAGCAAAAAAGCAGGAAATAACAGCTAAGTCCTGCACCTCTGGCTGCTGCCCTCTACCCGGCCCTCCCTAAGAGTTCTGACAGCGTTCTGCTGGAAAACAGCTTCCTGAGGGAAAAATCACGGCTGTTTTTATGCCCTCTGGGAAGAGATCACTTTCGAACTGGGCGTCCCATTTGTCTGGATGTGCCTTCACTTCACATGTTTTTCTCAGAGACTAAATTTTTTTTTATATTGAAACCACTCTGCACAGTTTTATCTCATTTCTGATCCTTCACTTAGTCTTTAACCCAGTGGTTCTCAACCTTCCTAACGCTGTGACCTTCTAATACAGTTCCTCATAACATGGGAGTCCCAACCATAAAAATATTTTCGTTGCTACTTCATAACTGCAATTTTGCTGCTGTTATAAATCATAATGCAAATACCTGCTATGCAGAGTATCTGATATGCAACCACTGTGAAAGGGCTATTTGACCCCCAAAGGGGTCATGACCCACAGGTTGAGAATGGTTGTTTTAACCTCTCTGAGTCCTTTTCTCAACTATCATGCAAAGTTGTCCTAATAAATAGTGGTACATACTGAGGGGCTTTCTGTTTAAAGGCATCTCAGACTGGACCCCTTTTAGGATTTATACAGATGGTCTTACATTTCTTGGCCCCTTTAGATGTAGTGTCCCTGCACCAGTTTTACTGGATGCTTCAGGGGACTAGGATCTATGAAGAGCTGTCCCAGTTGGGGATTCCCCATAGAGCCATGTGTCTGAATTTTCAAGGATATTTATTGAAAGGCAGATTCCTGCATCGCAATTCCAGAGGGAATGCATCAGTATCTCTGAAGGTGTAATGGTCCAGTCATCTAGACTTAAGGGTCCCCAATTATTCTTATGTCCATGAGCATTTGAGCATCACTGGGCTACATTTGTCTTGGCGGTCTCTTGCTGGCTACTCCTCCTAGCTGGGTCTGCTCTCAATGGTCTCTGAGAGACGTGGCAAACTTGAGATGCTTGTAAGGACTTTGCGGTACTGCCCATCTGCAAAGCTGGGTGCATTTATAACATCAGTGCTCTTCTTCATATCTCAAACAAAATGCCTGAAGTGGTCCAAATGAGAGAGAGGGAGGGAGAAAGGGAGGGAAGAAAGGTAGGAGCAGCATAGTACTATGGTATTAGTATTATAATACATCATTATGTATTATATTATGTATTAGTATACTGTATTACTGTATTAGTATTATAATACAGTATTATGGTAATCGAGATCTAATCAACAAACTTAGAATGTGTGCAATGCCAGCTTAGGCTTTCAGACTTGGATCATGGAAATTGCCTTACAGAATCAAGTGCACTTCAATGTTTCCCTATCCGCCATTAAACTTTGATGACTCCTTGTCTTACTCCAAGGAAACATACTGTGACATTGACCAACCTGTCGGTTCTCTGCTCCATTGGTTTAAGATCCATTTCATCTTCTCTTCCCGACAGCTTAACTAAGAATGTGCCTATTTTCGTTTGCACCATGGCCTATCCCACTGTCCCTTGTCCCCTGCATATCTTTGAGCCTTGTTATCGCCTGATGATTCGGAGATGTATTGAGACAGGCACAAAACAGTTTGGCATGTGCCTTGGAGATCCTGTCAGAGGGTAAGTGAGGAGACCTAGGGAACAGGGAAGTTAGGTATAAGGGTGATGGAGGAAGGTCATTGGTTAAATAAATAGAAACTGCTTGGCCCTCATTGGTTAGAAGATAGGTGGGAGGAGTAAACAGAACAGAACGCTGGGAGGAAGAGGAAGTGAGCTCAGACTCCAGAGCTCTCCTCTCGGGAGCAGACGCCTCAGAGAGACGCCATGCTCCCAGCTCCCAGGCAGACGCACCCGATGAAGCTCCGACCCAGGATGGACATAGGCTAGAATCTTCCCAGTAAGCGCACCTAGGGGCGCTACACAGATGATTAGAAATGGGCTAAATTAATATGTGAGAATTAGCCTAGAAGAGGCTAGATAGAAATGGGCCAAGCAGTGATTAAATGAATACAGTTTGTGTGTTGTTATTTTGGGCATAAGCTAGCCAGGCAGCCGGGGTGCTGGGGACACAGCCCCACCACCCTTATTTCAACATAAGGGGATTTCTCTTTTACTTCGGAGGGCTTCGTGTGGTGGGATCAACCAAGTTCGTGAGGTTAGCCAGCTCAGAGCACCCAAACATCTGTGAGGATCACGTTCCCTCTGATACCTACTTTATAGTATGAGTTCTATTTTAAGTAACCCTAGAGGTAATCTTTCATTAAGCAGGTTCCATACATTGCAAAACTTGTCTTGTAGGCTAGGGCTGTAGCTCAGCTTGCCTGTCAGTCACAAAGCCTGGGAATCGATCCTCCGCAGTACATAAACCTGGAGTGCTGCACACCCACAATCCCAATAGTAGTGAGTTGGAGACAAGATAAAACAAAGTTTAAGGTCACCCATGACTACATGCGAAGTCCAGGGACAGCCCACAATACATGAGAGCCTGTCTCAAAAACAAGTGAAACCCAGAAACACACAAACAAAATTGTTTTGTAAAGAGTGTTAGCCCTAGAGCTAAGTTACCCACTTTAATATTTGAGTGCTGGCCTTGGAGTTACCTTTGATGTTGGGAAAATCATTTAGCCTTTCTGTCTCCAGTTTCTTTGTATGTTAAGTGGGCATGATGGTATGCCTACCTAGCTGGTCTTGCTTATTGGGAGAGCTGATGGGCTCCAAGCATTACACAAGGTTCCTATCCAAATAAGTCCATTGGGGATACTGTAATATAATGTTGTGTAGCAAGTAATTTATAAGCAATAGGGTTTTTTTGAGCCAGGGTTTCATACTGTAACCTAAGGTGACCTGGAACTCACTGTATAGCCCAGACTTGCCTCAAACTCATGGCAATTCTGCTTCAGCCTCCCCTACATTAGGATTCCAGGTGTGAGCCACCACAGGCAATAGACATTTATGCCTACAGTTATCAAGGCTGTGATGCCTACAGCCAATGTGCCAGCATCTGATAACAGTAATGTTTTCTTTTTCTGAATCCAGAGTCTAGGTAGGTGTCTTAGTTAGGGTTTCTGTTGCTGTGCAGAGACACCATGACCATGGCAACCCTTCTAAAGGAAAACATTTAACTGGGGTGGCTCACTTACAGTTCAGAGGTTCAGTCCGTTATGGTCATGAAAGAACATGACAGCAAACAGGCAGACCTCTTGGTCAGAAGGCAATAGGAAGTGGACTCAGACACTGGGTAATATCCTCAGCATAGGAGACCTCAAAGCCCACCTCCACATTGCCACACTTCCTTCACCAAGGCCATACCTACTCCAACAAAGCCACACTTCCCAATAGTGCCATTCCATATGAGCTTAAAAGGGCCATCATTGCGTTCAGACTACCACAGAAGTTATTCTACCATTGAACTATATCCTAAGCCTATTTTATTTCATTTAAGACCAGGTAGGACTAAGTTGCCTAAGCCAACCTCAAATTTGTGGTTCACCTGCCAACAGCCTCTTTTGTGGCTAGGACTATCATTATATGCTCTCATGTCCAGGATGTGGATAACATCTTGGTAGAAAGGCAAGGAGGAAGGGAGAGAAGGGAAGCCCAACCCTCCTCTTGCTAAAGAACACACTTTTGCAGTAATTAATCCACTCATGTGGGCAATGCCTTCAAGGCCTGATCACTTCTTAAAGGCAGGACCAGTGTTAAAATGGCAATTCAATTTCAACACCAGCTTTTGAGAAGGACAAACATTGAAACCAAAGCACTGCACATAGTGTGCAATCAACAAATGAGAGTCAGTTTACCATTCTGTTCAGATCTTTTCTCCTCACAGGTGCTGTCTGATGGATAGGTACAGTTGTAGATCAGCGCAGAGAAGTCCTCTAGCAAACAGCCCAGGGTGCTAGGCATGGTGATCTAGGCCAAGGACGGCAGAACTCATCAACAATCCACTCTCTTGACTTGATTCTCAATAACCAGCTTTGCAGAATACGGCTGCATGCTAGAAATCAGAAATGTCCAATTCTTTGCTGATGGCCGATCGGTGGTTGACAGCATAGGCAAGAGGCGCTTCAAGGTGCTCAATCAGGGCCAGCGGGATGGCTACAACACAGCTGATATTGAATACATTGAAGATCAAAAGGTAAGGGCAGCCAGGATCAAGAAACCTAAAAGTCAAATTATTATTGTAGCTTGGTATACAAAGATGATTGTGAAGAGGTTTCTCAGAATTGGACTGGGGCCTTGGGATTTCTCACCAAATTGGTCCTAGATGAATGCTACTGGGCAGCTGCCCACCTGCATCCAAAGCCCTCTCTCCCCCTTTCTCTCCCTCTGGGGGCTCGGTGTAGAATGGGGTACACATAAGCATTTTAACTACGGCTTGATTTATATTTTCCAGTGCATTTTTTGAGATTATTGTAGATTGCAATAGAAATTCATTTTTAAAATGTCCAACCTGCCTAAGAACTGTGTTCCTACCTCAGAGTCATTCAGCGTCCCCAAAAGTAAAAGCAAAATGTCATATACCCTGAGCTAAGGGGTAGAGGAAGAGGTCAGTAATCCTATGCTCATTTGTATAAATTAGGTTGTAGATTGATGCATGGTGAATGGATAAATTCATTTGGCCTTGAGGATGTGCTGAGGCACAGATACAGCCGTATCTCCCTTCCCAGTGAGTAGGGAAGAAAAGGACATAAAGATGGAAGGGGCAGAGGCATAAAGCAGCCCAGTGAACTTTACTCATATGCCATCACCTGGGCTAGCTCAAGCTTCCCGCTGTTGTTTCTCTGCCTGTTGTTTCGGGCATTTTTCTCGGTTAAACCTTTCGTCTTCCTGCTTTCTATGCCATATTCGTACCCAGTCCAGCACCTGGCTGCTGGGTGTTCCACATTTGACCGAGGAGAGAGCCAGAAGGGGAAAGGAAAGGCAGGTCAGAATCTCAAAAGAGAGTCGGGTGTCCGAAAACAACTCTGAGGTGGGTGGAGAAGGCAGAGACTGCTTCACTTGCATTTTGATATTTGCAGGTTGAGGGAGAAGACCGTGCCGAACTCATGGGGCTGCATAACTGTGTGTATGAGCAAGCCTCCTCGTGGTTTCATTCGCTCAAAACATCGCTCAAGAATCGGATACTAAATCACTTTGGTCCAATGCCAGAGAAAGATGAAGATCCCCAGGTATACAAGTATATCTGTTCAGAACAGGTTGCCCCACCAGGTGGGACATTCCAGGCTTTGTAACTAGATGGGTGTGGGGTTGGCATCCAATATAGTCTTGTGTGGCTAAGTAGTGAGCATCACAGGTAGGACCAAAAGGATCCCCAGTCAGAATTGGCTTTATAAAGGTAAGTAGTAGGAACTTGGAACTAAGACAAATATTGAGACATAGGTGAGGTGAGAGGAAGGGAGCAGCGACACTACCGACAGGAGAGCCTTCGATGGGAGTCCAGACCCACAGCCATGGTAATATTAGGTGACAGGGACAAATGTAACAGCCAGGGAGTAAGAGAGATGAAAACTAAGGTTGCACCTCTAGCTGGCTTGATGTCCCCTTTTCCAGTTCTGCAAGAGCTAGGAGGTAGGATCACCTATGCTACAAGAGTCCAGCTGCAGAATCCTTCATAGCCGGCCCATCAATGTGTAACCCTGCGAGTCTAGACTCTTGCCATTGTTCCTAGGTTGAGCAGGTCCTGAGAAAGGTGGTCCCCAGGACATAGTTCATTAGGTTCTACTGGATTGCTCTTCTTCCTTGAGGCCTGGGTCTCTACAAGCTCAGGCTGCAGATCCAGAGTACACTAGGAATGTGGGGAGAATTCGGTTTTCCCACAATTTGCCTGCCTTGTTTTTCAATCAGGCAGTGTTTGTGGGGACTTCCAGTTTGGAGAAGAGACGGACTAAGCTGTACTATTCTCTTAATGCTGCCTTTCTCTATATGCTAAGCTGGCTGCCCCCACACTGCTGGAACCTCTCTGATTTCTTTTCTAACGTATGCTCCCTGATTCTATTACCATAGAAAAATCTGATTATATATATATATATATATATATATATATATATATATATATATATATACATACTCTGACTTTTCTGACAGTGTGGCTTTGGGTAAATATCTTTCCCCTTTCTCAACTTTTCTCTAAAATCAGAGGGGATCATTAAGAGTCTGAAGTTCCTCCTCTTCCTTCATTCTGAGACCTCAAAACACATATCTGCTCCCTAATGGGCTGAACTGGCTTGCTTCCTGCAGCCCACAGAGTGGCTCTTCTCCCTCCGTATAATGGCATCCCTCGCATGTTCTAAAGAGAGCAAGGGCAGCAAGTGCTTTCTGGTGACCCAGCTCTTGGCTATGGTGATTTAAGAAGTCAGCGTAACTTGGAACAAGGTCATGTTCGAGCTTAATGTTCCTCTTCACCTGCTGAGGAACATTCTCTGCCAGTCAGGCAAAAGATACAGAATAACAGTGCTAAGCACATCTTCCACAGGAGAAAGCACAGGTGCCTCGGTGTGATTCATAAGGCCATAATGACATGGCAAGTCCGAATCATTTCCTTTCTTATTAGTTTTGTTATCATGTTGCCTTGGTGGTGGCGGCGACAGCAAAAACTCATCCAGTTTGCTGTATCTAATCCTGCAACCCCAAGCAATTCCACGAATAAGAATTTCGCGCCTCGGTGGGAGGTTTCTTAGAAACAGCAATGGTATTAACATCAACTTAAGTCTCTGCCTGGTGATCCTGGGAAAGAAAGCTCAGAATAGCAATCTGGTATCCAAAAGTGATTGTAAGAAAATAGATTGCACACTACAGTGAGGTACACACACACACACACACACACACACACACACACACACAAAGACAGAGACAGAGGAGATGGGGGTGTCCCAATGCTTTCAGGGACATTCAGGGAGAAACCCACACAGCATTTTGGAGTAAAATAACTTCATATGGAGGGAGCGAGACCAGCAAGCGCTTCTCTACGAGCCGAAAGCTGACTCGTTCTGAAAGTTGTGGGAAGAAAACTCATTTGAGGCTTAGTAATAAATGTCTAAGATGTGTGCTCAGGAAGCTGATAACAAAGAACATGTCGGTGAAGGATTGGTAAGGGATGAGACATGTCTTTATTGGAGAAAACCCCGAAGGTTAACAGGAATGTATTTCCTAATTGAAATGTTTGCTTGCTATTCTTTGAAACTGGAAATCATAGCTCTTGGTTTCAGGGGAGAAGGTAGCTATGGTTCTGTTTGGGACATGGTATATTTAGACTACAGCCGTCCACCAAAGTAAGAAAATAATGGGTGTGAAACCATCATGCCAAGCCCAAAGAGCCCTAGGATTAAAGGCCTGAATTTTAAATGGATAAGTCCAAAGGGTCTTCGGAGTGAAAGAGAGAAAATAGTTGGTACTCCAGAGCTTGTAAAACCACGCTGCTTAGGAAGCACAGAGTATGTGGTAAGATGCTGGTTTGCTTGGTTTAACAAGTACTAAAAGAGACTGCAGCTCCAATGAGGGAGAAGGCCCCAGTCCTGGAGGACTAAGACAGTTCTATTTCAAGAGAGCATCCAGGACCCAGGCTCTTTTATCACAGGGCTGTGCCATCTCTAGAAAGTTCTTTTTTCCTGACTAAAGAAGACTGGTCATCACCATGTCTTCAGTCTTGCTAGAGAAAGGGGAGAGGATGTAGAGATGCCTCAGAGGTTAAGAGCACGGGCTGTTCTTCTTGATGACCCAGGTTTAATTCCTAGTACCCACACAGGGGCTCACAGCCACCAGCCCAAGGGAATCAGGTGCCTTCTTCCAGCCTCTGTGGTGCACAGACAGACATGCAGACAAAACCCCATACACATAAAATAACAAAAGTTTAAAAAAAGAAAATGAAAAGAAAAGGAAAGAAATATGGAGACAAAGGTAGTCAGAGGCCGCATGCTCTTTTCCCAGAGCACGACCCAGAACTTACCACTTCTCCTTAGCCACAGTTTTGTCTATGGCCTCACCTAGCCACCAGGGAGACCAGGAAACAATAGTGTCCCGTAGCAGCTGCCACCATGTTGCTGTGGGCTCAGCTGAAATGAACGAAGAGCAAATGAAGTGATGAAAGCTCTCAGCAGTCTCGGCCACACACCTAAGTGGGCCCATGTGGGGTGTTTACTTTATGCGTGGGGACTTGTGTGTGTGGACTGCACGGTAGCAGGATCGATGAACTGTGTTTCTCTGTTGCAGGTTAATCCGAACGGTCCAGCCTGGTGCTGGTGGACATTAGCCGTTCTTCCCCTGGAAACCAGAGCTCAGCTCCCCTTCCTAGCAATGAAGTCCCTAAAGGATAGACTGAATGGTATTCGGCGAATCCTGGCCTTTATAGCCAGAAACCAAAATTAGGGGGAGCAGACTGGGAAGGAGGCATTTCCACCCTATCCACTGCCCTGGGGTGATGTTCTTGTATCAGATATCTAGTTGTAATAACACGTTAACAGAAGAGAGTATTTTTGAGAGATGTTGCTATGCGTTTTGACCACACATAAGTTGAGTAGGAAGACAGAAAGGATGTGACATGTTTGACTTTCTGTCTTCAGATGCTTTTTGACACTAACAGCCAGAGGTGTGGAAGAGGCCAGTAAAAGTCGCTGTTTAGCGTCAGTTTTTCTAAAAGTTTGTTTGTCGTAGCTGAGTGACTGTGTGGTTAGAATGGGAAGCGGATGCAGGCGTCACTGTATTCTTTCACTGACTTGAGGTCTCATTTCAAATGGTTCAGGTTTTATAGAGCATTGTGTAAAATAATGTTCATACTTCTTTCTGTTTTAATAATTTATTTTTTGCACTACTGTATCCTTTTTCTACATGTACGTTTGTAACTATTTAAGTTTACCTTACTGAGAAGTCCATCGCTTTATTTATTGAAGTGGTTGACTGTATGTAGGGGATTAACAGTACTAAACATGTGTGAGGTTCTTTCTTTACATTTTGCTGAAGTAACCGTAGTTCTTAGACTATTTTTATATAGTTCTTGTCTATTCTAGTGGACTAAGTTTCAAAGAATTTTAGAAGGATTCTGAGTGCTGCCTGGATGTATAGAGGTGTGGGGCCATCCCCTGGGGCATGGAGAACATACCAGGGACCACACGTCCAAAGAAAAAGGCGTCTTTCTCCTCTATAGTCAGTAGCCCCTCAGCTAAGGGTTTAAGCATTTTCCAATTATCTGTCCAGCTTCCTTGTAAATAAAACATTCCTGTATCATGGTTGAGTCAAGCAGATCACCTACCCACTGTTTCATCACTAGCGCTGTCATGGAAGAAGGCAAGACTTTTTGTTACCTTATCATCCAATGGCTAATATGTTTGATGAATTTTTTTTATCTTTTTAAATTTTTTTACGTTTAAGCTTTTTAAATTTTCATTAAGTGGTTTACCAAGAAGAGCTTAAAAGGAGCTGAGGAGATGGCTGAGGGGGTAAAGGCACTTTGTTGCCAAGTCTGATAAACTGAGTTCAGTCCCTGGAATGTACATGGAAAACACACACACACACTCACACAAGTACACATGCATGCACGCACACATGCATGCACTAGCTAAAAGGACATTGAGCCTATAATTAGTGATCCTAGAGAAGCTAAATAAGAAGGAGAACCCAAAGAAAAACATATAGGCAGTCTCCTGAATATTAACCTTCATCAGGCGATGAAAGGAGACAGAGACAGAGATCCACATTGGAGCACCGGACAGAAATCTCAAGGTCCAAATCAGGAGCAGAAGGAGACGGAGCACGAGCAAGGAACTCAGGACCACAAGGGGTGCACCCACACACTAAGACAATGGGGATGTTCTATCGGGAACTCACCAAGGCCAGCTGGCCTGGGTCTGAAAAAGCATGGGATAAAAATGATTTTTTTTAAAAAAATAATAGCTTAGGGAAGGATGGGAGGGTGTGTAGAGGGAGTGGGAGGAGGGGAGTGGGAATTTAGATTGATATTTTTTGAAGTAATAAAACAATGCAAAAAAGAATAGCTTAAACCTGGCGGTAGTAGCATCCACCTTTAATCCCAGCACTCACAAGGCAGAGTCAGGCAGATCTCTGTGAGTTTGAGGCCAATCTGGTCTACAGAGCAAGTTCCAGGACAGCCAGGGTTGTTACACAGAGAAATCCTGTCTCAGGGAGGGGGAGAATAGTTTAAAGGCGAAGCCAAATCATG